CCGCTACAGTTCAAATTTCACAAAACCGATTAAATTCAAATTTGACAAAACCTTTACAGTTCAAATTTCACGGAACCGATTGAATTCAAATTTTGCAAAACCGTTACAGTTCAAATTTCACGGAAACGATTGAATTCAAATTTTACAAAACCGATTACAGTTCAAATTTCACAGAACCGATTGAATTCAAATTTTGCAAAACCGTTACAGTTCAAATTTCACAGAACCGATTGTATTTAAATTTGACAAAACCGTTACAGTTCAAATTTCACAGAACCGATTGAATTCAAATTTTACAGAACCGTTACAGTTCAAATTTCACGGAACCGATTAAATTCAAATTTCACCAAACTTTTTCAATTCAAAATCGTTAAATCTCAAATTTTACAAACCCATTAAATTAAAATTTTTTAAAAACCGTTGAAACTTAAATGTGACTCCCAAAATGAACCAAAACTGCACCTAATTCTCTCACAATCTTGCCATTTAAAAAATTGCACATAAAAAGAAGAAAAAAAGAACTAAAAAGATAGAATGGGAGCAATTTCATGTAAATTTTTATTTTCTCATCTACACTTTCCTCATTTGACTAATGTTTCAAAAAGTTGGCACATTACTGCATTGCATTATTTACAGTAAAAGCTTAAACTGAGGTTTAGTGAGTAAAGTGTGGAGATAAAAAGAGGATGAATGCAAAGATGAATGATAATTTTTAATGGGTGAGATTTAGTTTTTGTTTTGTTTCGCAAAAGAAAGAAAAGAAGGAACAAAAAGGAAGAGTGTCATGGTTAGGAGGTATTAAATAGTTAGGAATTTATTTTTATTGTTTAAATCGGATTTTATTGTAATTTAAAGGTTTTGAAATACTTTACAGGATAATTTTCCTAATGGAATGAGTCTTTATCTCGCATTATAATGATGCATGGAAATAAATTTTTAAGACTTTGGTAAATTGTGTTTAGATACCGCATGCAGATTATTTATTGGCATCCTCCTTTGGGGTTTGGATGTGCGACACATTTTAAGATTGTTTTAGATTTTATTATAATTTTTGAATTTATTTTCGTAATCCTTTGACCTCATATCTGGGCCAAGGATCGTCTAATTTTGAAGGATTTGTTGGCAAGCTGAATTAAAATTGCAAAGTCTGCTTTAGAACTACTTATCTAGTGAGTATTGATTTATTTCTTACCCTGCTTCTCAAGCTGCGTTCTATGGTTCACTCATTTGCATAACACATGATAAAATTTAAAGCAAGGGAATCCATGTGGTCTGTGGGAGTTTGATGAAGTTCTAGAGAGGTCCGATGAAGTCTAGAGAGATGCACTAGTCCTCAAAAGTTATCTTGCCTACTCTCTTATGCTCACTAGTTCTCATTGAGTTCCAATCATCACGATTAAAAAGATCATATTAAGCATTTAACCATCCTCCTTCCTTAGCACCAATAATCCCAATTGAAACACTACCAAGAACAATTTTGAACGATCCCAAGATTTCCTGCATTGCTACTTAATTGAATTCTAAATCATACAAAGTACTGCATCACCAATTTCCAACAAATAATCAATCCCCAAATTGAATCACTGACTATATGCATAATGTGATACAATGTAAATCCAGTCCAAAGTTCTTTGAGAGTCGTGATATTGCCGCCTTAATTCCTCGAAACTATTTGTCACGATCAATTTAAGTTATATAATTGAATTCAGTAACTGACTGTTTTCAGACTTAATTTTTTGTAAAGTTGCAACAAAACAGTTTATCGTGTTTATTGGTGATTACTTATATTTTTCATGTTGTTGCTGTCTTTCTTGTTTTGGGGGTCGATCATGTATTATGGTTATTCTTCTAATGGGATATGGGTAGGACGAAGGCAACTGATGTCATATGAGACCTTATAAATCCTAGACATCATTTTTAAATCATCCCTTCTTTATTAATTGGAATATGAGTTCAATTTGTAACATTCATCAAAAACCCAAGATACTCTAATAAAATTATATTTCATTTCAAGTGTAAAATCACGAATCACTCAACATTCAGCATCTGAGTGACCTACAAATTTAGCGACCTGAATAAAGACACATTTCCTCAAATGAATCTTCATTAAAGATAAAAATTTTATCATAACATCTCCGTCTTTCCACTCAAAGAGCCAATTTTCAATGTAGGGTGATTCATAAATGATGTCACTTTTCTTTTAAAGTTCCTCGTCCTTCTAAGTATTAACGATCAGTTGTCAAATGCTAATTTGATTGAAGTCGAATGTCAAAGGCTTTTAATCCAATCAAAAGAGTCCCACTGAATATAAGACGTCACTTTTGAACAACCCCCATCTCAATATATTTATATTCCTTTAAAGAATCGCAACATGAACCATCCTCCAAACATTAATTGCCTATAACATCCTTAAAGTAATCAAAACCAATACAATTAAACAATTTTGACCTTTCTACAAGCGATACCCTCATAAATTGATACAACTTCTGTGCTCAAACTTATTTTTATGTTATTTGCGTTTCAAAGATTAATGGCTCAAAAGACCCCATCAGCTATGACTCATTTTCCCTACCATTCAAATATTGATTTCTTCACATTGCAAACTTTGAATCATTAACATCATAAACAATAAAAATATCACCATGAAGCATAAGTAATAAAAATACAGCAGATAATTTTTCAATTTCTTATCACTTTGCAGTGTCGTCTTGTTGGTCGTATTTCACTCTGTTCGATGTTAATTCATGCGAATAGCTATAAAATATTTCACTTACATTAAAAGGAGAGAAATTGTGCATTTGTATACCCTTCCATTTCCACTCCGTTCATTATAATGGCTGTAAAAAGCAGTTGATTGCTTAATGTATCGAAAAATTGACAATAATTTTCATTAAGGAGATTCACTTTGCTTTTCTTTTTTGATTGTATTTGTGATTTCTTTATGGCACTTCCGTCTTCTTTCTCTTTAATGTCCTTTTATTGAAAGTGGCTAACCGTTTTCACATATTTGGCCAACACCACCCATTCACACACATACAAAATGCTATGGTGGAAATTCAAAATTGGACAAAAAGAGGATGGAGGTAATTAAATTTAATTTTCCTTTCTTTTATTTTCCGTATGGAAAGCAAATGTGCTTCATTTTATTGCCTTTGCACAGTTAAATATTTAATTCATTATCTTTGCAGCTTAAAAAAATATTCCTTAGCTGGTTTTTGTTGATAATGTTCTAATGAAAGCAGCATTTTGTTTAATTTTTGAAGAATCTTTTGTAAGTTGACATGCTTTTGTTGCCTAATTTCACATGTTGTAGGCATGCACTTCCTAGATATTTATTTTTTTAGTCTATTTGTGATCAAACAAGATTTATTTGTTTATTAATTTATTTAATATAATTTAAAGTCTTTAGACTTTAGTCTCTTCAATAAAGGATGACAATGCTCATCATTTTTTGAAATATGAAAAAAAAAAAGTAAAGTCTATCTCAACATTTAAGAATCGAACAAGTTAGTAATTCATTGATCATGTATTTAAATAGGTCTAAAATTGGAATTATTGTGTCCCAAGCTTCTTATCATTTTCTTAGACAGAGGAGAAGGGTCTAAAAGAGGGAAGATTTTTATGAAAAAATCAAACCGCCCTCCCTGAATTTTCCATATAAACTTTTTTTGTACCCCCCCCCCCCCCCCCCTTTTGAATTCCTGGCTCCACCTTCCAGATCTTAGAGTATCCTCAAAAAACCAAAAGTGTTCAATCTTATCAATACAAATTTTCTGGCAACGCCTCTATTCTTATCAATATTTCGGAAAAAAATATATTAATTAATAAACAAATAAAACTAGTTATATTCACACCGTTTTCACGTGTGAATCTATTGGTTTTGTTCACATTGAAAAATCAGTTTTTCGCATTTTGTGAGAAAACGAAGCGAAATTGGTTATAAAATGTCCTAGAAGAAAAGTTTGTGCCTGAAATTTTACATCATTTGCAAAAAACAGATTTCAAATTGGTTGCGACATTGCTGAGAAAATCGCAAAATACGCTTTCTGTAAGCAAGCAAGCAAGTTAATCAGCAAGAAATCTCAATAACGAGACATCGTAGAGACTTCTAGTTTTTTACATTTGATCCGTGCTGCTCTATAGAAGAGCTGTATTGTTTTTGGGCAAGGGAGGAACAGCCGTTGCTTCAGAAAAATCAAAAAACTTTCCTTTCCTACGAATTTTTCGAAACAAAAGTTTACTGTGATTTTTATAAAATTCAACTTTGGATGAAAAATTTTTTAAAAAACTTTGAAAGAAAGTTTGGCATATTCGTCAAACTTCTTACCTTCAAACTTATGCTGAGCTAAGCTCAGCTGACTCTTTAGCTTTATATCTTTAAACTTATGCTGAGCGAAGCTCAGTTGACTTATCAAGCTTCATACCTTCATACTTATGCTGTGCAAATCTTGGTCTATCCATAAGACTTTTGATGGTACGGTGTGAATATAATCCGCATTGGGTTTCTACCCGATACACTAGTTTTGTATGCTTTTTGATTTTATTTTGATGAAATAAATTATTTTAAATGCTAGCTTGCTAGCTTTACAGCTTGTTTCAGTCGATCTGCTAGCTAATTGTTAAAAGTGGACAAAAATTAAATTATTTTGACAAGGATCAACTGGAAGCTTAATTAAATCCGTGGAAAGTTATTCGGATTCCACTGTAAACTGTAGGTCTAAAGGTTTTGTCACACATAGAGTTACAATCGCAGTGCCTTCAGCTCGAAAAAGACTGAACCCTTCAAGCTTTATACAATATAATCGGAACATTTAAAAACTAAAGATTCAAAATCTAAAAAAACAATATGCAGAAGTATATTCTTGCAATATTGTTTTTTGTTTTAATAACTAAAACCAATGGAGGACCATTCATTCCATCCAGGAGTCTTTCAAGTTATCCGAAAATTGAAAATAAAGTCAAATTTATATTTTCGTAAGTTTTAAAAAACATTGAATTTGATGAAACTATTAAAATTAAAACTTTGTTATAGTCCAGACATGAACACATCATACAGCATCAATTTAGGATCTATGGCTGAAATGGTTCATTTTCCAAATTTTAATAAATCAATTCCTACAATCATTTATATTCGTGGATTTCTCGGGAGTGGTGAGTTTGATAATAGCGTGGAAGAATTAAGATCTGCGTACCTGCTGACCAAAAAGGAAAATTTTGTTGCTGTTGACTGGAGTGCTTATTCGAAAATTAAAATTGGCATTCCTTATTTTGATAATATTGCAGACCTCAAAACAGTAATTATAACTAAACATGGCATTTAAATAGGAAATAATCATATTAATCTACATATAGATTTGTGAAAAAACAGCAGAACAGCTTAAAAAGATCCAGTCCTATAGAAACTTCTATCTCATCGGCCATTCACTTGGTGCACAGTGTGCAGGCTTAGTTGGACGACATTTGAAAAAAATCTCAAACAACGAATTTATTATTCCAAGAATTTATGCTTTAGATCCAGCGGGTCCACATTTTCGAAGAGATAATGGCTATTTTGAGAGTGTCACAAAATCAGACGCAGCATATGTTCAGGTTATTCATACAAATTATGGACTTTATGGATTAGATAGGTCTACTGGACATAGTGACTTTTATCCAAATAATGGAATGAAGCAACCAGAATGTCTGACTAATATGTGCAGTCATAGATTCGCTTGGGTTGTTTTCCAAAAAACTGTCATCCAGGAAGGATTATTTACAGCACAAAAATGTGACTCATTTAATAAGTTTATTGGAGGAGATTGTGAGTCTAATGAAGTATCTTACATGGGATATTCGCGAAATGGAACTCTTCCGATAGGAAATTTTTATCTTTTCACTGATTTTAGTGGATCTACCCACGTAACCAAAATCCCATAAATGGATGATACATGTAATACACGAAAATAGTCCATGTAAAGTCCATACGTATCATCCATGGATAATCCATGTAATGATATTGTCCTATGAAGATGGACGATATTTGGGAAGATATTGAGTATTACTTCTGTATTACATTGAAGTGTAACATATGGAGTACATTTAAGTACCACTCATGTATCACTTCCCACGTAACCAAAATCCCTTAGATGGATAATACATGTAATACATGAAAATCTTTCATGTATAGTACATTGATGTAATACATTTGTACTATTTTGTGTACTATAAATGGATTGAAACGCCTGAAACAAAAAATGCTTGATTTTTATTAATTAATGCACATATTTATAATTATAGTTTCACGAATTTATGTGAAACACTTTATTTATTAAAAAGTAACATAATTTAATATTTTATAATTACATTTATCATTATAACTCAAAATATAATTGATTTGCTGAAAAATTGTAAATTTTTAATTAAGTTTACCTGAAATATATATATATATATATATATATATTACCTAAAAATAAACAAGAAAGACAATGATTAAAATATTAGATGTGAAAATATCGTAGACATTTTACACTATGAAAATTAATATTTTATTTTACCTTACCAATTGATGTTGTCCTTTATTCCCTATGATTACTTACCAATCAACATTTCTTGCTCCATTTAATTATTAATTATTTTCACATCTAAATTATTATATTTTCACTTCACAACAAGTTTCAAAACACATTTTTCACAATGTAAACAAATAATTTAAAAAAATAAAATGCAGCAAAAATGTTCTTAATTGTCTGAATGGCCAGATTTTTAAAGTGCTACATAGATGTATTACACATGGACTAAACATGGATATTCCATGTATGTAATACATAAATTTTACATGATGTACTGTTTCGGGGAAAGTACATTAATATTCCATCTATGTCAATGGAAAATGTGTGGAATACTTTGGTTACGTGGGTAGATCAGTAGACTTTAAGGATAGAACATTTAATGGTACTTTTGGAGAACATGTTCGAAAAACTGTTGGAATTTCTTTACATATTTTGCCTATTTTAAAAAGAAAGGTTGAAAATTTCAGAAGCCGACTTATAGACTCTAAGGATCAGAATTAAAAAATAAGAATAAAACGTAGCTGACTATTAAAGACCTTGTGAGGATTTTTGCAGATTTTGTATTCCTTTATTAAATTTTAAATCAATTTCATTGACACAAGAATAATTCAACAATAAAGAAGACTTTTGAACCTTCCTGGCTCAGTACCTCAACAAAGAATTCATCCTTCAAATCCCTCATCTCCTGGACACACACCTGATGACATCTAAAACAATCAATTTCATAAACTGCGCTTAAAACTTCACAAGAGTTTCCTCATGAACTTCTTTAATTGTTCCTCCTTCTTATTTATCTTCCACCATTCCATTGATAATCTTAAAATCTAGAATAATGTGCCATGTGCCATAAAATAGGAAAATTAGAGCGTTAAAGACAAAGAAAAGGTCTCATCAGGCAAGCACCAAATGATTGAATTAATTCATTAACAGGAACATATTTTCGGTCGTGTAGCTGATATTGATTTTCATTCAAAAAGACATAAGTTTCGGAGAAAAAAAATGTCCAACTGCTTAATGGACAATTAAAGCAAAATAATAGAGCAGAAGAAGGAAAAGAATAGTGAAAATTTTTCCAGACGAGCAAATTTTTCTTGCCTATTGAATATAATTTTCATGAAAATGACATGTTAAAAAAATTATTTTTTTTATTTTACTTTATTTTCATGCTCGGCACTAACCGAAATGAAATGAAATATACATGTGTTTTATGGACGGTACAGTAATGTGATGTGATGGGATGTTGCAGTCAGTAGGATAAATAGGGAATATTTAACATTAAAACACGGGACACAAGAGTGATGGAAAGGAAAGGAAAAAAAATTCTCGTATTTATGTTAAAATGAGGGGGAAAGATTAGCAAAATGCAAACAATGGATTTTGTTTAATTTGATTCAATTAATATATTATGGCTAAAAACGAAACAGGGGAGGATATTTGAATTTGCTGTATCTCATTGTCCTGTCCCGTTTCATTTATTTGTGTTTTGTGAGAGGGTTTGGATTAAAATTTTATGAGTCCGCTTGTTGTTGGATTCTTTGTTGATTTTAGCTTGTAGGAAAATTTTTGTTGATTGTTGAGGGCTTGTTTGTGATTTTTCTATATTTTTGAATTAAAATGTTGAAGATCTTGTTAAGAAAAGTAATGAACAACAGAGTAAAATCTAAATTTGAATCAAAAAATAGATTAAGCTTCAAAAAACCGTTGAAAATTAAAAAAAGTGTTCTTTGAAGTTGGCTGCAGATTTTTTCAACCCTAAAAAGATTCAAAAAACTAAATTTCCGCTACAAATTTTAAGCAAAATCAGTGAAATGTTTTTAAAAAAGCCGTTAAAATTTCAAAAACTATCAATCTTGAAGTTGGCTGCAGATGAAAATTTTAGCAAAACTCAAAAATAAAATTTCTGTTACAATACCTAAGTTTCACTTATAAAATGTCTTTAAATGAAATTTCAATTACTTAATTATATTTGTTCATTAATAATGAACATTTTAGTTCCATCTCAACCCTCTCATTCAATTAAAATCGCCCAAAAAACATCCTTATCATACTTCTTTCATTAAAACACATTTTATCAAAATTAATTTCATCATTATCATCATCATCTGAAAGGAAGAAAAAATAAGCATCAACAGTTACTTCCTAAAATTGGACCTAAAAATTTTCCACTCGAAGAAACTTTCTATTCACTAAAATCATCTACGGAAACATGAGCACACATGCCCGAGTCGGAAAGGAACTCATAAAATTAACACAAATGTTTTGTATGGCCACATTTTTTGCAATTTGTCACAGTGAGAGATAAAAATATTTGCAGGCAGTATGAAATAATATTTAGGCTGGGTTGAAACAAATCATGTCTGATAATTGTCAATGTATTTATATTTCAGCGCAATATCCTGCTGTCCATGCATGCATTTTAATATGTGTGTTTTTGATTGTTTCCTTTCTTTTTTTTTTTGCAAATTCATTAAATTTATTAGTCACTGAATGACTGAAAAGAATAAAAGCAAAAGAGGAGAGAAAAACCACATTACAATTGACAATGCCTTATGTCGAGATTTTTATTGTTTGATGCCTTGTTAGAGTATGTCACTTTAATAATGAATGAATATCAATATTTTTAAGGCTATTTAGATAGTCACATTAGGTGAAAATATCTATTGAATGTAACATCTGCTCAAATATTCTTTTTCTGTTGTCTACATCTTCTTTGCGAACGTGTTGTAGATGAAATATTTTTAGCATGCGGCAATTTCATCTTTATGTGTATACATGAGGACTGGTGGTCTACAAATCTTTTGATGCTAGTAACACGCTTTTGTATATTATAAAATAAAAATTATGAAATTATTTCGTTCGAGTCTAATTTGAAGGAACTGCACTTGTAACTTGATATGTTCATTTTCATAATGTGCATTAAAACATAAATTTTTTTCGCATTATTTTATGAAAAATTAAGATTCATTATTCTCAGAATGAGTGTACCTTATGTTGGCAGAGTTGGAAGCTTTGTGGTCCACAATTCATTATTAGAACATATCGCATCTTTTTGCTGCATTTATAATAAGTAGTTTTGATGATCACAGTTTTATTAAGTTGAAAATATTACTAAGGTCAATGGTTCGAATCCTATTCTAAATATGATTTATTAGTTTTCCCATAGGTATTAGAATTACAATTTTTTTTTCATGAAAATTTTGTTTAATTTTAGGCTCGCTCGGAGATGGGGGAAAGTTTCTGATTGTGTCTTTAATTTTCTAGGGAGCTCTTCAAAAATCACGTTCAGTTTTTGGTGGGGAAAGGAGGATCTGAAGTTTTGTGACGGTTCAAACAAAACATATATTTCTTCATGCAAATTTTGAGCCAGAATTCGAAAAGATGTCTCAAAATGTCTTATGTACAGGCTCAGGGACGAGTTAAATTTGAAAGATAAGACTCTAGAGATACAATATATTAGACATTTGCCATTTTTAAATTTAGCTTTTAAAGTTCATTACAGAGAAAATGATAATACATTAATAATTAATTGATTCAAAGGTTCAAATCCTAATAAGAATGCATAAAAATTATGCATTTCAAAAGAATTTGATAATCGTATCTTTTTTTTTTTTTTTGAAATATAAGTCAATTTAGCACAAAAAGGCCAACCCTGCAAACCTGAATATAAGAAGAGATTTATGCACTAATATTTTTCATCACGAAAACAAAATATTAATAAATTTTTTGATCTAAAAGAATTTTTATTTTTATGTGTAGTAAATGATTGCAGCTGTCTATGGAAATTAATCAGCATTAACCTCGCGTCTGTGAATATAGAAAAATAATAGTAATACAGTTATGATTTCATTTTGAGAATAAAAAAAATAGATATTGACTATAATTAACTTTAAGAAGCACAAAACAAAAATAAAAAAAATCATAAAATCTTATGGAACAAATTTTGAAGTTTAAAGTACTGTAGAATTAAAAATAAAAGTCTAGCAGGGAGAAGTAAGTTTGACTGTAATGATAATATCCATTTAGACCTTTTGGAAACATTTGGCAGAATATAGCTTGCCATTTTCTTCTGCCTTCTATTTTTATCGTGCAATTGAAAGTTTCTGTAATATTGAATGGTGATTAAATTGTCGCACAGCTGAAGATCTTTTCCCTGTTCAGCCAAGCATATTTTCTGTCCTTGTCATGATGGGGGGCGTTCAAGAGTGATGTCACATTAAGAAATTTGTTGACTCGTCTTCATTTTGTCAGCATTTGTTGAGCCATCATTCCTTGATAAACCCCATTTCAACTCCTTATTCAATGCTGGACGTAATTGAAGAGTGACCTACGCAGCTTTAGGACTTTCTACATGCTCTTGCTAGTCTCAAAATGAGCAAAAAATGTTTAAACCATCCAAACTTGCATCAATCGTTGCCCATCACTTTCACACAACTCCCACCAGCCTTTCATAAGATGTAATTGAAAATTCCAAAAATAATCAAAAAGGAAAAAAGAAGGCAAACTGTTACAACAAGAAATTTATTGAGAAATTTAAGCTTATGGAATTTGAAGGCTAGATTTTAATTTTCTTTGAACAAGAAAGAAATTTGCTTTCGTAATTTGAGAGAAATTAAAAAAACTTTTTAAAAAACACGCTTTTATCAAAAAGACTAAAAATCAAAAAGTTCAAAATAAAATAAGGTCACACTTTTAGCGAATCAGGATTTTAAAAATTTTCTTGTGGCAACTTGAAATGTAACATAAATTTTTTTCAAAATATTGTGATTAAGTCCAAGAACACAATGACTCTATAAGCGTGGGGCGTAATTTAAGGATGCATTTCTTAGTTCAACTAAGTTCTTAAGTAAGAGAAGCGTCAAATCTCAAAGCCCCACGCTTTTCGAGTCATTGTGTTCTTGGACTTAATCACAATATTTTGAAAAAAATTTATGTTACATTTCAAGTTGTCACAAGAAAATTTTTAAAATCCTGATTCGCTAAAAGTGTGACCTTATTTTATTTTGAACTTTTTGATTTTTAGTCTTTTTGATAAAAGCGTGTTTTTTAAAAAGTTTTTTTAACGTTTTTTTATTTGCTACTTTTTAGTCTCAATCTTTTAATCGAATTTCGACCACAACAATTCAAATTCAACTCCACTTCGTTTCGTTCAACTTTTTATATATTCCCATTTTTTAATGGGTAATTAGTAACGACTGTCAGGATTTTTCATTCGTTTTTATAATTTAAGTCATACCTGGAAACACATTAAACTCTTCCAAAAAATGTCCTGAACTTCAATTATTTGCGTTTTCTGTGTTTTTTAAAACATTCATGAATAAAGAACATTAAAAATCAATCGTAAAGATTTTGTGTTTATCCGTACCATTCCTATTACATAACGTGTGGATTCTTAACATAAAGATGCAAATCACATCTATATGTAACGTATTTATAACGGATTTTTCAAATTTAAATTCAATGAATGTCATTCATATGTTATGCAAAATTACGTTAAGCCGATAATAAATAGAAGTCAATTTAATTAAATTGGTGAAGTGCTATAAATATTGTAATACATTTAAAACAGCATACGTTTGTGCTCAAATTATGTGTGCTAAATGCACATCACATATTGATAGTTATTTTGCATTAATTCGTAATGGACTTGTGATTAACGGTTTTTTTGAAAATTCAAATTTTCACTTACGGATATTCATGAAAAAATTACTTGTCAATTTTTTCATCCTCCCAGAAAATCTTCAGCTTCTCCAATTATTAGTATTATTAATAATTAGTAATATTAATTAAACTATAGTGAATCATATAAATGACTTTTGAGCATTTCAAGTATAATATTTTAAACAAATCAAAATTTTATATCATTGACATTGGATTTTTTTCCCATATAAAAAAGTTTTATTAAAATTGTACTATAATTAAGCATTTATGTGGTTCTAAAGTGTTAAAATATTGTATTGTCACCGGGAATACGTGTGTATACAAAATTTGAGCTCGATTGGAGCAATAGAAGTGGTCGAAAAATCGATTGCAAGATTTGAACGTGACATACAAAGAAACCAACAGAGCAACTCAATAAAAAGCGTGTAAAAAAATCGTTTTTGATCTGTTTGTCCTTTTTGTAAAGGAGCTGGAAATTGATACTTTAAGTAAGGAATTTGCATCTTCTTTTAAGTGGATTTTCGGGAATTTGAGATAAAATTCAGAGTCAAAGGTTGAGCAGATTGCGGTCATGTTGCTGAACATGCTGGGAAATGCTCTGAACTTGACCCTTATTTGATTTTGTGCTAAAAATGCTAGATTTTTGTTGGTGACATTTGCAAATTTTTATGAGAATTTGATGCTTGTTTTGTTGAATTTTAGGGATGCTAGGGGTGATTTTGAAATTTGAATATTCTGATGAATTTTGTGATCAGTTTAGGTTTCGAACTAAAGGAATCAAGCTTCACTTATGACATTTCTAAACCTTTGTGACTTTTTATTATCAAAATGGTAACTTAAAGAATTAAAACCCAATTTTTTATAGGCTTCATTGTCCATAGAACTTCCGATTACATTCATAAGTCCAACACATTCAAATTCAAATAAGACTCCAATATCCCAAAACAGATCAATTGAACTCAATCCAAATCAAATTATCTAAATCTCTTCCTCAATTTCTAACCCAATGCGCCTATCATTCCCACAATTTCATCTTCTAAAATGACTCCGTTTCTCTCAAGCCAATAGCTTCCAATAAAACAGCACATTTCGCATTCAAATACTCGCCGAAATAAAAAAGAGATTCCATTTCTCACTAAAAACGAATTAAAATCCAATAAAATTCTTTAAATTTCATCTCTTTGTCGTTCCATTAGTCCATTGCGACTCTTTTTTGTTTCATTTTCAAAATAGGAAATTTTGAATGTCCCCATAAACAATCTACTTAAATCAATTTAATGTATAGTCCCATAACAATTTTGTGTTGTTGCTGTAGATTAAGAAAGTCGAATAAGTCGATAAATATCATCATCATCAACAGAGAGTTACATTTTTTTTTGTTTATATCCATAAACCCTAAAATAGTAAAAAGTCTAAGGAAATAAATAGAAATGGTTATTTTATTACATTCTCGTTCGTTATCAAAAAAAAAGAAGAAGTCTATACAAAAGGAGAAGAAACAAAGTCAATGCATAGCATTTTGCTTATTTTTATTCACATATTTATGTATTGTTACCTACATTCAATATCTATAATGGCCTTACGTATGCCATGTTTGAGTGCCATTATCTTTCATGCTATATAGATAGCTAGTTAGTACGTTTGTTATTTTATTTTTTGTCGTCTTCTTCTTCTTCTTTATTCCTAGCGACATAAAAACTATAAAACTTTCATACTCATTTGTTCGTTAGCAGAGATGAGAGCATAAAGATGAGACTTTTTAATGCATTTTTGAGGTAGTGAAATTATGGGGACTTTTGGAATTGCTGGTTTGTCTTGGGGGTTGCTCACTTATTATGTAACGCTTTTAGGAGGATGAGGAGGTCTAAGATTTTATTACTGTTTAAACAAAAGAAAAAATGATTTCACACAAATTTTGTTACGAAAAGGGGGTGGGGGGTCTGAAAAGTCATTTTTTGTGTTACGTAGGAAGAACTGCCACTTAGGTATTGATCAACTAAGATGTCTATCGAGAAAATGAAATGAGAAGTTTAAAACCCCTGAAAGTGTCACCAAATCTCAAATCTCTCCCAAATAAAACTGTGGGGGGGAGGGGGGGGGGGGTAACCCTTTTAATCTACATTCAAATACTTTATGGTGGTCGAGGGGATAAAAAAAAATTTGTTAAGACCTTAGTAAGTCAAAAACATTAAAATGTGCTTGTGACACTAAAACCCATCTTCAGCCTACACCCCTGATCTGAGCTATAATAATTATGACTCATTCATCTCCAAATTACATTCACATTATTCACAACTTATTCAAAATAATATAATTTAAGAAATTTGCCTTTCCAACTTGCTCCAGCAACAGCATAGAAATCCGGCAAAAGCAAATGGTATAAAAAATAAATAAATACACATATAAAAGAGTTTGAAATCAACAGAATAAAGTATCATGAAAAAATGCTCACATTCATGATAATAAAAATAAAATATTATGTGTTGAAGATAACAGTACAATATAATGATAGAATTATTATCAGAATAGAAAAAAAGACACACTTTGTATAGACGAATGTACGAATGTGTATAAGCTCAGAATGAGAGAAATTGTTTTCACCTTTTTTTTCTTCCTTTTATTGTTGCTATATTCATTTTCATTATCATTATACAACATATATTTAAGATGTTGCACATTGTCTAGCATTAATTCTCGTTTTGAAATTGTATATTGTATTGTATGTGTGGTAAGTTGTTGCTACTATAGAAACATGCAATAAGTTTTAATGAAGATGGTTTTGTCTTTGGATGAATATTCTAACCGTGAATGGATTTTGAAGAATGTTGAGCTTTGTAGGTATTCATGTCTATGTCTATGTCATAGATTCCTCTGAATAATAGCTTCCTCTAAGCCAAAGCTAAAAGTTTTAGCTACCCTTAAGTCATAGCTACCCCAAAATCATAGCTACTCTTAGTTCATAAGTACCCGTAAGTCAAAGCTTCCTATAAGTTATGTCAAAGCTACCCCTAAATCATAGCTGCCCATGCCACTCTTAGTCCATAGCTAATCCTAGTCCATAGCTACTCCTAAGTCATAGCTACTCCTAGTCCCTAAGTCCCCCTAAGTCAAAGCTACCTATAAGTCATGTCATAGCTACCCCTAAATCATGGCTGCCCATAAGTCATAGCTGCCCATAAGTCATAGCTATCTCTAAGCCATAATTCCCCATAAGTCATTGCTACTCTTAGTCCATAGCTACTCATAGTCCATAGCTACTTTTAGTCCATAGCTACTCCTAGTCCATAGCTACTACTAAGTCATTGCTCATAAGTCAAAGCTACCCACAAGCTACCAAAGCTACTAATAAGACTAGGTTACAACATTAATATATCCAGATCCCATAGTATTAACTTTACTATTAATCATATCCTCAAGCAACACGGTCGGAATAACAAAACAACTTTAAAGTAGAATGAGATGTAGATACAATGATATAATAATTATATTTTATTATTGTTCGCATTGTTGTGGTTGGTATTAGAATAAAAGAAATATATGTGTACATAGAAGCTCAATTCAAAAAAATAAAAAAAAAGTTTCAAATGATAAAAAAATCATAAAAATAAAATTTTATTATAATGTGAATGAAGTGCAAGAAATGGTTCATAAAATATCAAGAAATATAGGTTCGGGGGGTTTACATATGAATATTTTTATTTTATTTATTGAGGTGCACAAGTTCCATTTCTTTTGTTTCAAACTTCTGCTTCAAAAAAACTTTAAATATTATACTTGAGGCTGCTACATATTAAGAACAAGACTTGCAATTGTTATCTCTTATTTTAAAGTCTCAATTCACAAGTGTCCTAAAAATATCCATTATGTGCAATAGAATTTATTACTAGATGTAAACTAGTACAATAGTATCGAGTACAGTTGTTCCGAGTTGCATGACTGATCAGGAAATTAATTGAAATACTCAATTGCAATAAAATGTAAAATTTTCAATTCAAGTCAGTGGTTTTTGTTTGAGATTAACAAAAGGAAATGCAAACAATGAGGATAGGAATTGAATAGTTTTGCAGAATTTAGTTTTTTTTATAGATAATTTGAATAAATCTATTTGTGGATCAATATCGCTAGTCATTGGTTTTTGTTAAAATATAGATAAGTTTTGGGAACATAAAGATGAGCTTTAATGATGCTTGGATTGTGTTTTGTGGGATATTGGGATACTCTAAAAATAATTTATGGTTTATTTAACTATTCTGAGGATACAGTTGACAATTAAAGGCTATCCAGGATGGTATATGATCAGTAGTGTTGTTAGAATTACTAAAACAGGAACATGACCTTTGTCACTAGTTTAATTGATTCAAAAAGCTTAAAACGGAATGACTCAGTTGCTGCTAAGATACATTAGACGAGTCAGGTCTACTAAGGTGCACATTTCGATCTCGCTCTCCTTCCACCCTAGCTTCATTCTTGTTCTACGCTCTTGATATATAAATGCACTTCAATGCAGTTAAGATCAACGAATTTCTATCATTTTGTACATCAGCAGTGACAAACATTCTCAATAGTTAAGTGCATTCTCACACAAAATTTATATTCCCATACCCCTTCCACATATAAACACTCCAAGCCTCATAAATTATATGATTTTAAAATTCTCCGAAAAATATTCTATAAATCAACATGAATTCATGAACTAAATGTTTCCACATCAGCAACTTTTATGCACTCAACCAATTTTCAAACAATTCTTTAAAGTTCATTTAATCGACAAATGTCAAATTCTTCCTCAATAAAAATTGCTATTTTACCATTTGAATTTCAATTCTTAATTTTATTTATTTCAATGCATTTGAAGTTAATTCTTTGCTCGGTGGCTGCCTTTAAAAATTAGGGGGATGTTCATAAATGACTTTTGTTAATTAATTGGAGGTTATGGAACCTCATTGGATCTTTTTAAAGCTTCTTGTAAAATGTAAGGCTGATTACATTAGCTTGTGGTTATTGTATCACCTGATGTCAGCTTGGTACTCGAGCTTTACAGCTTTATGGCTACTCCATTGCTCTTTAGGCTCTCTACTAGTGTTACTGGCTTTTGTGACATTAGAGCAGTGTTTCCCAATGTTTTTCACTCAAGTGTGCCGTGACACACAGTATAAGAACCACTGCATTAGGGTATATCAATGAATCCAGTCCCCTCCCCATTAAAGAATACCAACCTCACTCTTGGAAGACATCAGTAGCGAATAACCCCTTAAATGTTTATCAAAAAAATATAAGAAGTAAGTAAGTAAACGGCAACAAGCGAGAGAACATAAAGTAAAATGAAAAAAGCAAAAAAAAAAGAACAAGAAAACGCGTGCATTTAACTGCATTTATGGGTAACAAAGACAAGACAATTGTTGTGTTATTAAAGTTAACCGGAAATGTATAAAAAGGAAAAGAAGAAATGAGCTAAGTGAGTACCTGCTCTAGAAAATCAAAAGACATTTGCATTGTAAAATATAATAATAATTTTTAGCTACTTTTAAAAGTAAAACTTATGAGCATTGGCAGTGAATTGACATCTGAATGGAAGTTATAATCGAATGGACTCTCTTTAATTCATTAAAAGACCATAATATCAATAAAACAGTGCTCGACTTTTATCACAATTCGTATATTTTTTTTTCAACCTTGCCAATAACATAAAATACATATTTGTATGCATATACATGTATAATATGTGCCCATTCAAAATTAATATCGTTCTTCTCGTCATTATATCTCTCTCATGCTATTTGTTGGCTGCCGCACTGCCGCTTTGCTTCTGATAATGCTTGCTGCTGCTGTTGCTGTTGTTATGTCTTCATTCGAAGGCTTTTACTGGGCAATAACGAGAAATATTTAAATTAATGCGCACAATTTTTTATTTTATATTTTTTTTCACCATTCGCACTTTTTCTATGGAGAAATGTGTTGGAATTGACATTTTGACTATTTTGC